TTGGACCCCTCCACATCCTCCCCTTTTCCCGTTTTTGGGGCGACACCCGGTGCGCCCACCGCCTCATCCGTGTCCTCCGACTCCGACTCACTACGGGTGAGCTCGTCGCTGCAAGAGGTGGTCTCGCCTGCACAGGATGGATGGCGCTCGTTTTTCCAGGCCACCAAAACAAGCAAAGCCTTGGGGGGATTCCCACTTTAAGACAAACTTGCCCAAGTGAGCTGCGAGTAAAGTATGATGATGACGGGAGTATGGCTTGCCGGGTCTTAACGGGGGATTGTGCAAATAGTGCGCTTCGCGGGGCAACTTCGGGCAGTGTTGCGCCTTTGGTTAGCGCACACCTCTCAGCAAATCAGGAACAAAACGGGCTGCGGCGCTGTTTCTGCCTGTTACGGCGTCCCCCGATAAGGGCATGCTGAGTTGTGGACACGTGATGAGCTCTGAGGTTGCAGCTCCCTTGCGAGGCCAATCGTTGCCCCAAACACATACCCCAAAGTTCAACCTGCCTTGAAAGAATGGCCTTGGGACCCAAGTTGGATGATGAAAATCCTGAAGGGTAAGTGATGGTGGTTATATCAACCCCCATTGTTTGAATGGTGGTTTGAACCCCAGGGTATGGATTTTGGTGTTTGCTTCACTTCGAGTCAACAATCGATGCATCTTAGCCTCCCTGACTCACTATTAAAATATGGTCGTACCTTAGGACTTCCCCCAACTACCCTGCAATCGCCCGAATTCCAAGCGCAATCAACCTGCGCTGGTGCATTCCAGAGCCTCGCCGACACAAAATGCACTGTTTGCCAACTCAACGGCTACCACAAGGGCCGACATAAATCAAATGGGGGTGCGGGTAGTGTTTTAGGTTGTCTCATGCCCGTAGGACAATAGTGGATGATACTCATAATTATAACTTGTCAGCGCTGTGCAATCAAGATTGCATCCTGACCATGCCACCAACATCCGTGCTTAATTGATGTCACTGTCACGTTTTTGTTCTGTGTGTCTATGTGTGTGCTTTACCGAATCACATTATGTTCATGGGAAACATGAGGAAGTGGCACTTCATCAGAGCAGGCATGCCGTCAGCTTCGGCAACCCAGGTGTCCCCCCGCTTTCATATGCTTTCCTGTGCTTTCGCAAAAATCAAAAAATATGGTTAAAATATCACACGGCTCGGGTATAAATGCCACCGCGGTAGGGACGTAGAAGGGTCTCTTAAACTCATCACCTGTGCCGTAGCAATAAAAACGTAAAATTGGAAGGTTGTCCTTTTGGCGGAGCATCTTCCTATTTGGAGCAAATCTCCTAATGATCTGGCACACGATTCATTCATCTGGCATCCTTTCTTCAGCTTTCACGCTGGGTACAAAAAGATAGTTGACTCAAATGAAATGAATTGGCTTAAAAGTATTCTGACTTCCTCTTGGACCCGTTAGTGGTCATTGACAAAGCTGTGTACTGAGGGATCAAACACGAGGACCTTCCTAAACCCGGGACTCCGGAAAACTCCTTTGTCGCTCAAAACAAACGGGTCCAAGTGGGAAGAAAGTCCAAAGTGCCTGGCGGAAGCTGGGCGCATTGAAGCAAAAAGTTGGGGGGGTGCCCTTCAGGAAGTGTGCGAAAGAACTGAAACAGAAGGGGGCCTTGGCCTGCTGGTTCCCAGCAGACCAAAGGTACTATGAGCCCCAACCATCCTGTGCGGTCTTCTCAAAGGGAATCTCCAGGTTCATTCCCAAAACTGGCCCGCTGGACACGGAGAAACATATGTTCAGACTCTATTTCATATTTAGTCTACCCCAAAGTATAATATTGTTTTGGAGGAGACAGTAGAGATAGGGTAAAATGGTTGCGTCTCAAAATAAAGGACCCCAAACCGGTGGTTTGTCCTTTTAATTCTGTTCAAACCGCTCAGAAAAGGGTATCAAGTCCAAAAAAGACTCACCCAAATGGGTGAGTCAATTTTGAGGGTACCCTTTTCGGACTGTCTAAAGGGAAAGAACAGTGAAACCACTTACAGTATCTTTTGAGTTTCCCTCCAATAATATAAGCGTCCGCTGGTGAACTCCCCATAAAAGCCCCTCGTTGAACCCGGATCACTGCCGCTCCTTCCAGGTCGCCCTCCGCGAGGTGCTCACGCAAGCTCCTGCCCCCCTCCATGGTGAGCTTTACACCGAACCGGTGTCCTCATACAATTGGCAGAACCCATGGCAACCCCCCCCACCTCGGGCTGTTTTAAAAGGATTGAAATGTGCGTGTGGGTGTGTGGGTAATTATGTGAGTGTGTTGGTGTGTGGCTGTGTGGGTGTTGGGTGTGTGTGTGTGTGTGTGTGTGTGTGTGTGTGTGTGTGTGTGTGTGTGTGTGTCTGTGTCGGTGTGTGGCTCTGCGTCTGTTTCTGTGGTCTTGCGTCTGTGTGTGTGTGTCTGTGTGTCTCTGTGTGTGTGTGTCTGTCTGTGTGCGTGTGTGTCTGTGCGTGTCTGCGTCTGTGTGTGTGCGTCTGTG